ATGTGGAGAAATTTTCATCCCAATAAGCAAGATTGTGGCATCAGAGCCAGCCTGCTTGTGGATCCATATAAACACATGATAATTTTTTCTAGATAAAAATACTTAATGCAGTAAGATCTTGCTTACCAGGCTGTCTCGCTAAGCGGTCCAGCCCAGCTTCCATAAATACAGCCGCTTTGAAGTACCCTGTACAACAGCCGAAAGTAAACTATACTGTCAGTAACTGTGTGATATGGTATAGGACAATTATTACATTTAACAATTAATCGCCAAAGGCGAATATTGTTAATCACCGAGCCTGAGGCAAATAATTGTTTTAGTATTTTTACACAAGTTTTTTGTGTTATTTGGTACTGAACTTATTTTAATTTCGCTTATTTCTTTATCGGTATAAACTTCCACAAAACGGCTAGCCGCCATTTTGAAAATTTTAGTTTTGTTATATTCATCTGTAGGTGAATATAAGATCTTAATATGTATAGGTTATTTTGACCAATCAGGTTATAGGATTTATTATGTTCAACAAACAAAGTGTAACTGTTTGGCAATTATACATCCTATTTCTTCGTATTAATGGGCCCTATACGTCGTCTTCAAGAAATCTTCCCGTGCAAAATTAATATATTTTGTATTCGCCAAAAAACCAAAGCGATAGCGTTTGAAGAGTTTATATTGTCAGGAAACATGTAAGCATTGTTTTTCGTTATTGTTTTACTGAAAAATGTTGTTTACTCCTATACAAGCTCCATTTTTAACTACGTTTTGAGAAGTTAACGATACCCCTAGAGCATATATAGTTAACTTTAACTACCTTTTAACTACAGAGTACAGTTAACGCTAAGTAGTACATTTTTATACAAGCGACTTAACTACGTGGTTAAAGTTAACCACTATTTAACTACAAAATAGTGATTAAAAAGTGATTAAGAGTTTAATTATATAACCGGCCCCAGACTGAACTTTAAGTTCTATGGCTATGGATCCGACATAACATTAAGAATGCGTTTATACATACAATATTGGCGTTTTTACTGATAATAATTTTTTACGAACCTGCCCCGCACTCTTCTGCTATAGGCCGTTTGTTGCATCCCGATATCGTTCACTTTCATTTCACCCATCTTGGAACTGAAATATTTTTACCGGAACTAACACTTTCGAACAGGCGCTGAGTTCAAATCCGAAACGTTCCCGCTCCGTAGACCTGCAGTTTTCTCACAAACTGCAATTTTATCTTCACTAATTTCAGGACAACTTTTTTCATTGTTCAACGACACGGATCAATGACGACAAACAATGTCACTTAAAAAGACCAATTTCTATTAACCAGTCTACCTTTTAACAAAAGAGCGGTTTTGCTCCAATCATTTTGAGTTATGTTACATTATGCGTGTCGGACGTAAACAACATATCTTGTCTACAACTTTGGGAAGGTACATGCAGATAAAGCTATTTCTGAAATCCTCAGTTCTGGCTCTATCTCAATAAAATCACAAGGACGTTAATGCTAAGTCTTTTGGCTATGTCTCTGGGCTGAGAAATAACTCTTTTAACGCGATCAAGTATTTAAAACAAAAGTATAACGCGAAGTCAACGGAACGGCAGAGACAACACTAAAATGAAATATTGTTGATGCATGGGTTGCTGGTAGAAGACTTACGACAAGATCACTCTTAAATAATCTTAAACTAGAAGAATAAATGTTCACATCTATGACAAATATCAGTGCCAAAGTATAAAATCTGCTCTGTAAACTTACGACGAAGTGGAGAAATGTCTGCATGAGCTGTTTATTTCGTGATTACAACGTATATGAAAGCCCTCTTTCCAATACTACTCGCTTACCGCACAGAATAACACCACTGATATAATAGTTCAAATACAATAAGTTACCTCTTGAATTACGTCTCAAAAACTGTGTTGGAAATTTAAATGCTGACCCATTACATAACATTACCGTTTTACATCGTTGTATAAAACATTTTGATCGCATGTAAGGAATTATTTTTCCGCCCAGAGACATAGCCAAAAGACTTGTAATTTTATTGAGATAGAGCCAAAACTGAGGATTTCAGAAAGCTTTATCTGTACCTTCCCAAAGTTGTAGACAAGATATATCGTTTACGTCCAACACGCATAATATAACATAACTCAAAATGATTCGAGCAAAACCGGTCTTTTGTTAAAAGGATGACTGGTTAATAGAAATTTTTTTTTGAGTGACATAATCGTTTGTCGTCATCGATCCGCGTCGTTGAACAATGAAAAAAGTTGTCGTGAAATTAGGGAAGATAAAATTGCAGTTTGTGAGAAAACTGCAGGTTATAGAGCGGGAACTTTTCGGATTTAAACTCAGCGTGTTCGAAAGTGTTAGTTCCCGTAAAAATATTTCGGTTCCAAGACAGGTCGAGGTCACAGCATATGGCCTCCTACTACTCTAACCATAACCACGGTTAATAATAAGCCCTAACCGGTTCTTATCCTAACCGTTCCATGCTTCAATGACCTTTGATTCTTTACCCCTCTTCAGCTTTGATTTTCTTCCCTGTATCTTGAAGTAATTTGGGTATCTTGAAGAGTCTGGGCTGTACCTTTACTATTCCAGTACTTTTCCTTCGATTTAACGAATTATTTTTGAAAAACTTGAAAAATGATTTTGCAGTGCTGATTTTGAGAACAAATTTTTCAGTTTATTTAGAATGCATCCCAATGATAAACAGCACAACAAAATAATTTATTGATATATTAACTAGAGATGTTACCCTTAAAAGTAGTCTCTCTCTCTAAATTACGTTCATCTTTTAACAAACGTTTCTAGTTTTACAAACATTAATATTCACTAATTTATCATTTTATTCAAACATTGACA